GAAGGCAGTCGCTTAACCAACTGAGCCACCCAGGCGCCCAAAAACCCTCTACTTTTTAAAAGTCAAAGATTCTTATATTGGGTAGAAGAAAAGGCCACTCACATGCTACTTATCAATGAGCCACCTAAAACAGAGTGACATGAAGCAGTCAAAAGTAAAAAGACAGGCAAAAATATAGTAAGTATATGCAAGCGAAAATAGAAGTGTCAGTGTTGCTCTCTAGAGATGTGATTCAGGACCAAAGCTTTGCACAGAAAAAGCTATTTCATGCTGGGAAAAGATAAAAATTAGAATGACTATGTAACATCATAAAGTTCTGTCCACCGATCACATAACATCCGACCTATAAAGCAAAGTCAATCAGTGATCTGCGAGAAACTGAAACACCTCACTTTAGGGGACAGCCTTCTCCGACTGTCTTTGGGGGATGAGATAGCTATAAAAACCAACCTCACACTAGATTACCAACAACACCACAATAACCACCCTAAAAGCTGAACAGTTTGGGCCACGCTTTTGTATCACGATGCAATGACACAAGGATTTAATAACGAAAGAATGAGCAACTTATATGAAATTTTTAAAAATACACTTTAACTTATTTTGTAGAAATAACATTCTATAAACTCTTCAGAAAATATTAATAATTAGAGTAATGCATTAAAAACTTACTGGGTGTGTTCAAAGCAAATCCACAACCTTAAAGGTATTTATTATTGAATAACAAAGAATGGAAACGAATTAAATGCTCAAATCAGGAAACTGTAAAAGGTATACAATAAAGCCAAGGTGGGTGCCTGGGTGGCTCAGTCGTTAAGCGTCTGCCTTGGGCTCGGGTCATGATCTCAAGGTCCTGAGATCGAAGCCCGTGTCGGGCTCCCAGCTTAGCAGGGAGCCTGCTTCTCCCTCTCCCTCTGCCCCTCCCCTGTTCCTGTTCACTCTCTCTCTTTCTCTCTCTCAAATAAATAAATAAATTTTTAAAAAATAAAGCCAAGGAAAATCTTTTGGAAATATATACAAAATATAAAATTATACCCTAATCAATTAGAACAGCAGAATTACGAATGAACTCTATGATCTGGATCTTTGAAAAAACAAATAATATCAATTAGGACAAAGACAAATTTTATACTGCTAGGGTATAACCCACCAATATGGGTAGTAAGCATGTACTTTGCACTCCTACCAAAATAGACTTGAAACATAAAGCAAGAATTGCTAGAGACTGCAATAAGTCTTAATTCTCATGGTAAACCTCTCAGAAATCGATGGATTATATAGACATAAAATATTTGAAGTGTTGAAAGGATTTGAATAATACAGTCAACAAACCTGGTTCAATTAGTTATGGCTAGAACTTTGTTTCAAAACACACAATGCTTTCATTTCAAACACACATGAAACATTCACTAAAACTGACCAGATACTAAGCACAAATAAAACCTCAATAAATTGCAAAACATAAAAATAATTAAATCCACACTGTGATATAATTTCTAATGGGGGGGAAGAAGTCCCCATCCTCCCCAAACTATCCATCAGGAGATTAAATAACACCCTTCTATGGAACTCTTGGGTTAAATAAGAAATATACCACGAAATTAGAAACAATACAGAAATGAATGATAATGAGATCAGTACATATCAACTCCTGCGCTATATGGCCAAAGTAAGACCCAGAGGAAATTTTATAGAATTAAGTGAAAATATTAGAAACCAAAGAAGTCTGTAATAACTGATTCAGCATATGACTCAAGAAGTTAGAAAAAGGACAGTAAAATAAGTCCCCCCAAAAGTAGGTTAGAATTACTAAAACTAAAAGAGGTTTAGTGAAGGGCGCCTGGGTGGCTCAGATGGTTAAGCGTCTGCCTTCGGCTCAGGTCATGATCCCGGGGTCCTGGGATCGGGTCCCGCATCAGACTCCCTGCTCCTTGGGAGCCTGCTTCTCCCTCTGCCTCTCTCTCTCTGTCTCTCATGAATAAATAAACAAAAAATCTTTAAAAAAAAAAAAAAGAGGTTTAGTGAAATGAACAAAAAAGAAGATTTGATTACCAAAACCAAAAGTTAGTTTGTACCATTTAGGAGTCCCAAATAAGAGAAACTTCCACTCAAATAGGCTTAAAACTTGTGTCCTCTCTTCAGTGGTAGCAGCTTCCTCCTGAGTTGGTCCCCTTGTTGAGAAATGGATGCCAACTGCACTGGGCAATGTACGGAAGTGTTGAATCACTATATTGTACCCTGAAACTAATCTCACACTGTATGTGAACTAACTGGAATTTAAATAAAAATTTCTAAAAAATGGTTGCCAACAGCCCATGTCCTTCTGCTTTCTCCCCCACATTCAGAGAAAGAGTGTGCATGTCTCTCCTCTAACCATGCCTTATGCTGGCTGGGTAACCCAACTGGAGCCAGTTGGCCGGGGCACTGGACTATGCTAACTCCCAAGTCAGACTCCTGGGAGCTGGGAGTGTGACAGCTTCACCCTGAAGAACATAAGCAGCATGGCAGAGTGGGAGGGCTGCAGACCAGGACCTGGGGTAATATGAGGGAAGGATGGATACCATAAAGCTAACCAATAAGGTACACCAGATGGATTTTTTTAAGATTTTTTTTTTTTTTTTGAGAGAGAGAGCAGCAGAGGGAGAGAGAATCTCAAGCAGACTCCCCACTGAGCACGGACCCAACACCGGGCTGGATCCCACGACCCTGAGATCATGACCTGAGCCGAAATCACAAGTCAGACACTTAACCGACTAAGCCACCCAGGCATCCCTACCAGATGGATTTTTTAAAACACCTATGAAATAGACAAAAATTTGGCAATTCTAATCTTTAATAATTAGGAAAGGGGAAAGAATACATATATAAATAATATTAGAAATGGGAAAGAGGCCATAGGTTCAAATTTTATCCATCAGTTTGAAATGTAAGAATCTAAGCTAAAGTAAAGTGATTTTCTATACTAAAATTAATGCAAAAAGAGGTGGGAAACCCAACTAGGCCAATAACTATACAAGATATTTTTTAAATACTCAAAGATTTGTCTGTCCCTTAAAAAAAGCTATCAGGCCCAGTGAGTTTTATGTGCACAATCTACCAAACCTCAGGAACAGATAATGCTGGCATTGTATAAATTGCTCTAGGGCATAGGAATATACTAGAAAGCTTCTCAACATGGTTTAAGAGGCTACCACCACAATGACACCAAACTTGAACAAATGGTGGAGCAGAGAGGAAAAGTGGAGACCAATCCAACTTTAGGGCAGAAATTCTAAACAAAATGCCAGCAAATGGAATCCGCAGTGTATTACGGGATTTATCTAAGTAATGTACTGAGATCTAGTAATGAATTTCATTATGTGAACAAATTAAATAGGAAAAACCATATAATCATCTTAATAGTTCATTACTGTGTCACCAAGGCCCAAAACAGTGCCTGGCACAGGGAAGGTTCCTAGTAAATCTCTGTGAAGCACATGAAGCCTGAGGTCAAGGTCAGCACGTGGACCCCACCATTACCGCCACTATTCTACACTGTGTTAGGGGTCACAGGCAGTGAGATAACAAAAGAAATAAATGGTAGGATTTTCAAAAAGGATACGACGTAGCTCTCACCATTTTAGGGAATTTGATTAGGCCAAAAATAAGCCAAAAGAATCCACTGAGAAACTGCTGAATTAAGTAAGTCAGTTTTGCAAGATGACCAGGAATCAAGATCACTATGTTTTTTTTAAATCAGCAGCTTTAAAATACCTAACATATAAAATTAGAAAAAAATATAATGGGAGGAGATATCATCCACAATGAATATAACCAAAATTTGCAAAATTCTTAGAAATAAACTCAATATTTTTCCAGACATCCATGAATAGAAGAGCCGAATGAATAGAGACATATACCATACCCCTGGTTAGGAATTCAACATTGTAAAATTAGTCTGCATATCTAATTTCAATTCAAATACCAATAGTATCTTTAACGAAAACTGACAAACTGATTGTAAAGTTTACATGGAAGATAAACTCTGTAGATTAGGCTTTTTTTTTTTGAAAGAGACCTTTTGCTACCATTTAACAAAACATAACCGAAAGCTGTTTGAAACAGTACAGCACTAACCCAGGGACAAACAGATCAGTGGGAAAACAACAGAGGTTTCAAAAACATACACATGGATATATTAAGATTTCCTTATTACAAATGCAGATATTCAAATCAGCAGGAAAAAGATAGGCGCTACAAGAAATAGTATCAATGGGATTGGCCCTCCAGTTGGAAATAGAGTTGGATCCCCACCTCACACCACACACAAAAAGAAATTTCAAATGGATTACAGAGTTATGCATAAAAAATAAATGTATCGAAATAAAAAGAAACATGGGAAGATAGCTTTTATAATCTGGAGATGGAAAGACCACCTTCAGCTAGGCGCAAAACCCATAAAGTAACTAAAGACTGATTTGATTCCATAATAATTTTATTTAAAAAAAAAAAGATTTATTTATTTGAGAGAGAGAGAGCACAAGGAGGGGGAGGGAGAGACAAAGGGAGAAGCAGATTTCCCACCGGGCAAGGAGCCGATGCGGGGCTCGATCCCAGGATCTCCGGATCATGACCTGAGCCAAAGGCAGACACTTAACCTACTGAGCCACCCTGACACCCCTTGACTCCATGATAAATTTAAATTTTAAAGGTCTTTATGGTAAACTTCCATCATTCCCTCCATTCCACATATTTCTAAAAGATAAAGAAATGTTTGTAAAATAATTGACAAAGGCTTAGTATTCAGAAAAGATAAAAACTTTCCTAAGAAAAAGAAAAGCAACCCAATCTTAAAAATAGGCAAAGCATATGAAGAGAGGATTTACTAGAGAAAAGGCATATCTTTTTGTCAACAAACACATGAAAAGATACTTTTCCAGTCAGTAAAATACAAATTAAAACAGCAATGATATAATAACATTCTATCATTGGATTGGGCACATTTTTAAAGATTGATAATATCCATCTTTAGCAAAAGGGGAAATGTTCACTCTCCCATGCTGTACGTATGAATGTAAACTGGCTCAGCTTTGGGGAGGAATACTCTTTGATCGTACTCATACAAAATGATTAAATTTGTGTGTCCTTCAATGACTGTCCTTCCCTCAGCCCACTCCCAGGAAGAGAGGTGCAGAAATGTTTCAGAGTGCCCTCCCCCCGCCCCACCACATGCGCTCTAGGTATTGACGGAGAAAGTTTGTCAACGTGTGTAATTTTTTAAAATGTGGATTATTAACAAGACATATAAAATCCCACTTATTTTTAAAAATCATAAAGACATTTTACTTAAGGATGCCTACAGATTACTCCTGGGGAAGGGAGCAGCACTGGTGGTGGGAGGTGGTTGGGGGGGGCGGAATCTTTATATGTATTTCTGAATATTTTCAGTAAATCACAAGAATGTATTCAGATATTGCCTATAATTTTTTTTAAAAAATTTTAAAGATAAAAACATAGATGATGAACACGTAATACTTCTGTAAGCAGTTTTTAGTGCCATTAAATAAAAAGAAAGAAAGAAAGAAAGCTAAATTTGGAGCACTTTAGGTGAGTCCTTCCTATAGTCAGCCTATGAGGCATGTTTCAGCTGCTCCCTTGCAGCAGGCCCACTTTACAGATGAGGAAACTGAGGTCTCAGGCCCAGGCCCTTTTCTTATGCCCCTGCACTAGTGATATCGTAAAAACCGTCAGCCTCCACTCTGGGGAGCCTGCTGACAGAATTCATTCCAGGAGGCCCTGTCCTCCCACCCACCCTCAACCCCCCAGGGTCACCCACAAAAGAGAACAGAGCCAGCTCACATTTGTACAAATTTAATCCCTGCTATCCTGGTCCCCAACTCCAGAGCCCCTCTAGGCCACACTTCCCTTCTCCTGGTCACCCAAGGCCTAGTCATCCACCACATCCCTCCCCACTGGGATGCCAATGCAGAGCCCTATCTCCCAGGGGCCACTCTTTCCCCACCTTGACTCTTGTTGAATACAGGCACATGACCTTGGTCTAACCTTGATCTGGACCCATACAGCAGAGGCAAAGCAGGAAGAAGAAGAGAGAGGGGAGATCAGGGATCCAGCTGGGGCTGCAGCAGCCAGAACAGGAGCAGGAACCAGGCGGAGGTTTGGGGGCCTGAGAGAGCCCCACTGCTTATTTGCTTCTTGATCCACTTGCTGTATTTGGTAACACGAGTGTACACGCCTGGGTTCTCTGCTTTGGCACAGGCCTTTTCCCAGGACAACACCCCAGCCAGAATCCATGTGCCCTCGACTTCACAAGCCAATGGGCCCCCAGAATCCCCCTAGGTAAAAAGAGAAGAATAATGGAAGCTCTGGGCCCCCCTGGGACCCAGGACCCCAGAGGGCCCAGGATGCCCACCCTCTGACTTCTCTTGGAAGATTCTTTCACTCCCTGAGGATCTCACTACCTCCTTCAGCTCCTCCTTCAGCTCCTCAGTTGTAGACCCATCCCAGAATATCAGGCAAAATCAAAGTCCCAGGGGAAGGAAGATGGGAGCAGAGCACTACCCGGCAATGGTGACAAAGAGGGAAGCCAAGCAAACGCCTCCCCGGGAATTCCCCCCTACACCCTGGGAGTCGCTCCCAGCCGAAGAGCTGCCAGGACCTCCCAGAGACTCACAGAGCACAAGTTTTCTCCATAATTGGTGGCACAGATCATGTCCCCCAGGACAAGGGGGACGAGGTGGGGGATGGGGGACTTCTTGCGGTAAATCTGGTCACACTTCTTGTTGTCCATGATAAACACCTCAGCCTCCTGCAGCTCCGCGGTCAGCGTGGAGTTCACTGTGGGGGAGCCCAGCGGGGTGAGAAAGGACTCCTCACTCCACTCAGCTCTGGCCTCTTCCCAGGGCCCCGTCGCCTCCATTTCTGAGACTCAGCCAAGCCATGCCCCTTCTCACCCCATGCCCTCCTTCACCGGTCTGTTCCCCTGCGGTGGGGACCATGTCTGGCAAGCCCCTCACCCTCTCAGGCTCTCTTTCCGGATCCCTTTCTCTGGGAAGCTTTGGCTTCCGAACCAAGCAGACCACAATCCAAGTTTCAATGCAACCACTCACAAACTGAGACCCCAACCACGTCCTGCTTCTCTCCGGCCTCTGGTTGTGCCCTCTGTCACCTGGTTACACTCACTCCCCTCCTCTGGCATCTCAGATAGACCCCCTGCCCAGAGCTCATCCCAGATCCCTCCCAGCTTGATCTCAAGATCACCTGACAAAGTCTTTGCCTCTTTCCTCATCAGCCTGGGCCCCCACCCACACTCAGTGACGAGTGCCCTGCAGGTAAGACATGTGTTACCGACGTGAAGGGTTTGGTGTGCGGCAGACGCTCAGGGCTTGTCAGGTGAATGAATGAGTGGGCGAGTAAATGTAGGGTTCCCTGACTCTGAGCTGCCGTAAGACGCAAAAGATCATGCCCAGCCCAGGTGCTGCTAGACCTGGGTGAGGTGCCCACAGCAAGCACAGTGGTGTAAACCATGAGAATGGTTTCCACATGAGGTGAGTCCTAACACATCCAAAGAACCAGGGCCCGGAGGTAACAGCCACAAGCTTCCTGAGAGGCATCATGAAGGGCTCCGGCAGGGAAGGCCCCAGAAGGAAGGCGGTGCCCCCTCTGTGGTTCTGCACCCCACCCTCGACCCATTGTGCTCACCTGAGAAGCGCTGTTTAACCTGGCCCCAGCCAGTCACCCAGCACTGGGTCCCAACCTTGAGGTTGTAGCTGGGCTCCGGGAGGCAGATGGGCTGCACGTACTTGCTGAAGGTGGCAGGGCTGTGAAGCTGGAGAAGGGCAACATCCCCCATGATGAATGTCCGGCCCCAGAACTTGGGGTGCATGACGATGTCCTTCACAGGGATCAAGGCAGCCTGCAAGGGCTTCAGCTTGGAGGTGCCAAGAATCACTGAGTATTCTTTGGTGCTACAAGGAGACATACAGCCCTGGCTAGTAGATGTCAGGTTCGCAAACAACACGATGCTCCTACCTCCACCGAAGACCCTCTCCCTTGGCAGAAGCCCTGCCTGATTTGCTCTGCTCACTCCATCTTGGTAATCCAGCTTGGAGGCTCTCAGGGTCAGAGATACGACTGACTGCCTCCCCATTCACTGTCCAAGTTGATTCAAGGTGGCCTCATCTGTGTGCAGTGTATGCAAGCACGCAGGTGTGGGTATACGTGTATGTTCTCGTGTGCGTGAGGGGTGGGGGGTGTCTGAGGGGTAGGGGGTGTCTGCTGGGTTTTCCTGCTGCCCTGCTCAGGATATAGTCTTTGTTGCTTGGGGCTCCTGTGAGACCCTGAGCAGGACTCTTCCCCATTCTGGATATCCCTTCCTACTCCCCCTCACCTCCCGACTCCCACACTGTTTCACAGAGGAAATGAGGGGGATGCACTAGGCCCATGGCAGCCCCGGGTCTCCAGGCCGGGGACACAGGGGCCACACTCACCCTTGGATGCAGTGGGCAGCAGTCACCACCCAGTTGAGATCAATGAGGGCCCCTCCACATACGTGCTCATTCTCCAGCCGGAGGCTCACCTCCCAGGGCCAATGGCGGGTCACATCCAAGTCCTCTGACCACCAGGGTCTGCCACAAACTTCAGGAACAATGTGCCAGGGAGACACAGTGACCACATATTGGAGGATGAGAACAACTGAGACCAAGATGCCCCCCACCCCAGGACCATGTGCCCAAAGCTGTAAACCAGGGGCTTGTCCCCATTTCAAAGATGGGGAGACAGGGTGAGAGAAGGACAGAGGCCTGCCCAGAGGCACTGTGCTAGACAAAAAATGACAGTGACAGAGATACAAGGCTTCAAGACAGAGACATGAAGACATCACAGGGGAGAGAGAGAGATACTGAGACAACAGGGAGCAATTAGCAGGGAGCCCCAAAATAAGGGAGAAGCATAGAAGGAGCCCCGGGACAAGCCATGCATTCTCTTGTGTCTGGCCTAAGTCCCGAGGCCATGTTCCTGAAGGGCCATAATGTTTGCTGCATCTCTTAGATGCAGAAGGCCTCTGTCCCCACATTACTCGTAGCTGAGAAAATTTCCAGACTTCTGTGTCAGAAATCTTTACACAGGCCATTCAAGAAAGAGCCTCAGCACAGAGCCCACAGAGGCCCCCCACTCACAGCTTATAGTCTTTGTCTGCACGAAGTTCCAACACAATCAAGTGGTACGGCTGTATGAGTGAACACAGATGCAAAAATTTCTAAATAAAATATTACTCAACATTATATTTTGAAAAAAATAATGCACCACGATCATGTAGAGATTGTCCCAGGAGTGCAAGGGTGGTCCCACCATGGAAAAGCCCTCAGTGTATTTGCCACATAAATGGTTCTTTTTCTCTAAAGAGAAAGATCATATGCTCTTCTCAAAAGACATAGAAAACAACATTTGAAAAATTCAACACTTATTTATGACCAAAAAAAAAACCAGAAACAAAAACACCTCTTACTTAGTTTGGAACAGAAAGGAAATCCTTAACTTTATAAAAGTTAGAGACCACAAACCTACAGCAAATACCATATAACATTAAGGAACAGGCAAAAAGATTCTATACAGTCAGAAGCCAGGAATAATGGTACTTTGTGGGAGGAGGGCAGGGGAAGTAAACGAGAGAGGATAAGGGAGATTTTGGGGGCTGGTATAGGTCTACTTTCTGACCAAGACAGTAAGTAACGCAGGTGGGTTCACTGTGTGATAATTTCCTAGGCTGGACACTTAAAATTTGTGTACTTTTGTGTGTGTATATAATACTTCAACAACTTACTTTTTAAATCAATTACACTTTTCTACTCCAGCACAATCAACTAGGAAATATATTCAAAATATATCTTATCTTCAATAACAAAAAATCATAAGTACCAAGAAATTAACTTATCCAACACTATGCCAGATTTCTGTGGTGATATATTTAAAACTCTAATAAAGAAAAAAATAAATAAAACCCTAATAAAGGACACTGAAAATGATTAGCATAAATGGAGAGACATCCCTTGCTTTTAAATAAACAACTAAACATTTCATGATGTACTTTTTCCCAAAACTAATCGATAAAGTCATTTTCCAAGTTAGAATTTTAGGAAACTTTACAAACTTACTCCAAAATTGAAGTAGAAAAACAAAAGTCCATGAATAGCTCAGTCTCTGAAAAAGTAGAACTTAAAGGGACACTTGTCCTAGCAGGTATCAAGACACACATCAAAGTCATAACAGCAAAAACAGTGTCATATTGACAAGGACAGACAAATGAAGCAATGGAAAAGAATAGAGAGCTTGAGATTGTTCTGGGGACACAGGAACTTAAGGTAAATAAAGGAACCACCACCATCAGTGGGTGAAGGATGGATGTTGAGTAGATGGTGTTGGGAAAACTGACTCACTATAGAAGATTTAAGAAAAACAAAACTGGATTCCTCCCTAGGAGCACTTGGAGATCTAAATAGGAAAGTGAAACTCTAAAGTTAACAGTAGGCCATATGACATGGGGTGAGAAAGGGCTCCCTAGAAAAAATCTCAAAACAAACCATAAAAGCATCAAATTGATTAATTTTATTACATCAAAATCAAGGATTTTTTTTTTTTTGACCCTGGGAATAAAGTTAACTGGCAGATGACAGATTGGAAGGCAATATTTACAATATCGAAAATCAATACAAGACGTTTATTAGGAATATACAAGGAGCTCTAGGAAATCAATAAGAAAAAAAAGAACAGATAATATGCAAAGGAGAAGGACAGGCAATTTATTAGAAGAAGAAACTCAAGAGGCCAAAAGCATATTGAGACATGCTGAAACCCATTCACAATGAGAAAAATGTCAATTAAATCAAGAAGCCATTTTTTTTATCTATTAGATAAAAAATTGGCAAAAAGATATAAAAGCTGCATGGTAACACGGTTGGTATGTCTGTTACAATATTACACCTTTACGAATGGCTGGTAGGAATGCAGGGAGCTGGCCACATTAAATTATGGACAGTAGATAAAAGCACTGTATCAATGTACATTTTTGAAGTTGAGAAGTGGTTGATAAGTGATAAGTGAAGTTGATCAGTTGACACTGTGGTTATCTAACGGAATAGTCTTAGAAAAAAGCATGCCTAGGTATTTAGAGATCAGGAGTCAGACTATATTACCCTCAACTGATTCTGAAAAAATTACATATGTGTTCCTTGACTTAGCTGTATTTTTGCAGTGTTTTACAAGCTTAAAATTATTTCCAAATAAAAAAAAATTTTAATGGAACTGGTGAAAAGAGGAGGAGACAGAAAGGGATCTAGAGTATACACCATTTATGTAAGTTAAAAATACATGCCCACAAAACCACAATATGTATTTTGACAAGAACACGCACAAGCAGAGACACACATTGAACATACAAGAAAGGTTGAGAGGAGGGTGAGGAGGGGGAAGAACAGCAGGGCATGGACATCAGCAGGAATAACTAATTTAATCAACTAAACAATTCATAACCAGAGAGGACCTATGACATTGGAAGCCCATGAATCAGTGAGCAACCTAACCCACCATACCTGACGTCTAAGGAAAAAGGCCCTTTAGCAAGCAAGCCCTTCAGACTAAATTCCTGCTTCCTATGGACCCGGAAACACTATCTCTGTGACCCTCTTCAGAACACATCCTCCCAGCAGCTGAGGTTTTTCTGAAGCAGCGGCTCACCCTACTCACCTGGTATGGAAGTGTTTTCTTTATAACCTGGAGGAGAAAAGGGGAACAGAGATGAAGCAAGAGATCACGAATTAGTTCATTCGTTAGTTCACCAAATATTCCCTAAGCTCCCACTCCACTCCCAGCCAAGACCGGTGGGGGGACAGAGCGTATCAAACAGATAACACGCTGTCCAGCAGCCGAGACGGAGGTAAACAAAACCACCTGTGTGGGGCGCCTGGGTGGCTCAGTCGTTAAGCGTCTGCCTTCGGCTCAGGTCATGATCCC